GAGAGAGAGAGAGAGAGAGAGAGAGAGAGAGAGATAGGCGAGACAGATAGAACGAGGACGAAGGAGAAAGAGTAAGAGGGCAAGTAAGTAAGCATACACGCGTACGGATCGGCGTCGTCGCCTACGCGGCCCCGCAGGTATATCAAGGCTTTCCTCGTTTAGCCTCGCTCGTAAAACGATAACCTCCCCGCTAAAACCACAACCGCCGCCACCGCCACCACCGCCGCCGCCGCCACCGCCGCTGCCGCCGTTGCCGTTGCCGTTGCCACCGCCGCTGCTGCCACCGCCACCGCCACCGCCGTAGTCGTCGCTCTCGACTCGAAAACTCGTCGGTCTGCATTCCAGTGTTTCGCCGAGCATCGTTCTTTGCAGACGTCCTGTGCGCGAGCCGACGAGCCTGTGTCCCATCCGCGACGAGGACGACGGCGCCGTCTGGCATGGAGGCCGCGTTGATGCTCGCCGGGAAGTGCGCGGACGCGTAGGTGTCAGCCCGACCTTGGCTTCACTGGATGCTACACTGACATATAAGGGTGAGTCTTGATATCGATGGGGATTATCCTGACCCCGGAGGTGCTCGCCGAATCTCTGGAAGCAGTCAGGGGGCGATCGGCGGGGAAGGTCGAGCGGACTTTACGCGCACTTAACAAGATTACAATCGGCACGAGCGGTTGATACCGGCATCGCGACATAAACATCGGGAGGCGGAACCTTTTCGTTTTATCTTTTAAGAAATAAGCCGGAGCGCTCCTACGGTCCAGAGTACCTACGCCACATATCCTCTCATCTAACACTTAACGATGAATCGCATGAAAAAGTTGTTAAATTATATCAACGAATTAAGGGTTATTGGGGCTCTTACGAATTTAAAAGAGAGTTCGTTTTTACTGCCGTATTATTACTCAATTTAGCTTTGCATCCTCGTGCCCATGTCCATTCGTAAATACTAGTGTGCCAAATGTTTCAATTCGCCTTTTAATTGCCCTGCAAAGTGCACTCGTTTAACGATGGCAAACGCTGTCGGGGATGGGTCAGGGGAAGACACACAAGAGAATTTTCAATACGGCGAAATGGTTGCCTAGCGCCGTCAGATTTTTTTTTTTTATTTTTTTTTTAATTTTTATTATTTTTTTTTTTTTTTTTTTTTTTTTTAATTATCTTGCGAATTAGGAAGGGGGTAAGGATATCGTAACAATGCGCTATGATCGATTAGATATAAGTGTCGCCTATTCTTTTTAACGATTCTACCGAAATTGTAAAGCATCGATAGACACATCTTTGGCAATTTACCTTATAGTAATTGATTTGCATTTCGTAAATTTAATATTTTATGTCCTGCTATATCCCGAATACGCCGCTAATATTTTTCGGAAATTTACCGATCAGTTAGTTTATGTGAATGTTTATAATGTCAGCTTCTACATTCGTCTTCCATTGCAATTCGAAAACTTTGTGTGCTATGCTATGAAAAATATGTCGCTAGAATGTCGATCGACATGCGATAATTCAACTTTGTCCACGCCGTTGCCAATTTTTCTTCTCGATAAATGAAGAAGTCAAACATTAGTTAACACTTAACAGTGTGGGAGAATTTAATTTAAGATTCTTTAATGTCACGCTTTAAAGGCTGAAATCCGTTGCTTTTTCGCGGCACCGATGAATGCAATAACAAAACAAACCAATTTACACGATCAATGATAATGTGAGGAAAGTCGTGAATTTGTATTACTTACTTATCTGGGCATTGGATATATGGAAGTCGTGATATTGCGTCGGTCGAGAGTGTCAGCACCGTATAATTTCATAAGCCCACGCATTCAAAGAATTCATATTAAGTAATTTTTATTAGAAAACTGGAGCATACAATTTTCCGGATAACGTGTCATTCCCCACCCTCATCCACCCTCATCCACCCTCATCCACCCTCATCGTCCAAACATTTTGCCCCCTTTATCCCCATAAAGATCGCGCTCTTTGGCTTATCTAGCTGAACGGCATGAAAAAAATGTGACAAACACTGCGTGCAGAAGGTCGTCGTTTAATGCAAAAAAAAAAAAAAAAAAAAAAAAAAAAAAAAAAAAACTTGATGGATTCTTGAAAACACAACAGTTGTTCACAATAATAATAGCATCATAAGCATTACAAAAGATTTTAAGATTAAAGGGAGCAACAAGTTGAAAATGGCTTTCCGATCGGGCAGTGCTTTATTAAAAGGCAGGCGGCCGAGGTAGAAGTTGAGGCAGAGGCAAAAATTTATTGCACCGAGGGCCGAGGAGTTGTTGCTCTCGCACCGGTCGCTGCTCGAGCGACTGTCCGGGCGGACGCCAGAGGGCGTGTGGCCGGTGTCGCCGCCCTCGCCCGCAAGAGCCGCGATTCCCCCGCGTGTAGGCAGGAGGCGCGAGGAAGTGGCTCCGGGACCCTTTCCATCCTGCAGAATTTGGCCGGTTGTTTGGGCGCACGCGCTCGATAAGTCGAGGGCCACGAGCTCTTTCAAGTATTTATTTTCAATGGCGGGACGAGCCGGAGGTGGGCCTTGCCTTTTCCATTAGGCTTTACGGCCAGCAAGTGGCTTTGGAAATCGGCTCGGCCGAGCGGAGCCTTGAGACTCGGGAAAAAAAGGATATACGAAAAGTGCACGTTGCCCAGTGATGCATAAGGCGATAAATAAGAGAGAAAGAGGGAGACGCAAGTCGGAACATGGGAAGTAAAGCTCTGCACTACAGCAGCCAACCGTGCGATTTTACTTCCTTTTTTGCTTCTCGCGTCACTCACTCACTCACTCACTCTCTCTCTATCTTATCCCTACCCCCATTCCTCCTCTTTTTCCCCGTCAAGCCTTTTCGATACCCATATCTGCCTGCCAAATGAAAGAGAGGGAAAGACGCAGCAGCCTTCATCCAACATTTGTTTCCGCTCTCGCCTTGTTGTAAGAGAAGGAGGTTGGGGATAAGCGAGCATGCGGGGGTGGGGTGGGGTGGGGGGCCACGTTTTCGCTACCATTTCGGCATGCAATAGGAATGCGTCGGTCCTCGAGAGCAGTTCGAGGAAGGAGCGCCGAGGAAACGATGCATTTTTTAGAGAATCGGACAGAGAGCGAGAGAAAGAGGGAGGGAGGGAGAGAGAGGGAGAGAGAGAGGGGGAGAGAGAGAGAGAGAGAGAGATACGAAAAAATACGAATGCATCGTTAATCCCTATGGATTAAAAAAAAGAAAAAAAAAAAAAACGTAAAATGTCAACGAGTCCCCATCAACTTGTTTTTCCTTTTTTTCAAGATTTGAATGACTTGTCTCGCGCGCCGTCTATGATTCATAAACCATTTCTTATATACTTCGTTTTCAATATGTAAATTATACATATAATACGAGTTATACAAGTCTCTTAACACTTATAATCATCGAAATTCGCTTTGCTCGTGTGCCATCACACTCTAATTTTAATAATCTAAACACCTTGGACGAACAAAATCACGTAGCTCGTGTGTAGTCTTCTCGTATATTTATCCTAATATTGGCTTATTTGTCATTTAAAATGAAGCACTTCGGGATCGCATTTTCCATCACTCTTCGATCGCCTATTTCAGTCTATTCTAATTTTTCGTTCGATAATATTAATTCCTTATAATTAAAATTTGTAGCATGCTAAATGCACAATACCATTGGCCTTCGCTCCCCGCTCCAATTCACTTATCTTTCATTTTCCATACTAATTTTGCTTCTTCTTTTGCTCGTATTAATTTTAATTATTGAAGTAATGAAAACTTAGTATTTCCTCGCGTTTGAAATGTTCGATTGCAACAACATTAATTACATTACCATCGTGAAATTCAACTAAGTGAAAAAAGATTTTAATACAATAGTCAAGATATATTATTATTTTGGTTCGACTGTCAAGATAAAGATTAATTGCTTCATTAGATTCTGGAATGTATAATAAAAATTTTGATGAGAACGAAGTTTTTCTTTCTATTTCATTTTTATTTTTATTTTTTTTTAAATTTACCGTGTAACATAAAATCAACTATCAATAGTATTGTATTGTGTATTTGGTAGTGAAAATATAAAAGGTAAATTGAAGAATGAAACGATGTTTTACAATTGAATTTAAATACATATTTATCTATTAATTTATAATATCATAATAATGTATTAAAAAATAATTTCAATCATGGCAATTTCGATGTCAGAACTACTGCCTCGAGATGAAAATCCCCAACGTTTATAAGGAAAAGTATAATAAAATATTATTCCTATACTTTGAAGTGATGTAAAAAATATTCGAATTTTTGTTAAGACTAATAAAAATAATAATAATGGAAGATTGTCGTTGAATCGTTTATGAAGATTCCATAACGATTGAAGACGATTAAAAATATCATTAAAACTAAACAACATTCTTTGCGATTCACGTCTTCTACTTTAATGTCATAATTAATCCATAAGCCGAGATATTAAATCTATCTTTTTAAAGCAAATACTTGAATATTAATTACGTTGAATATTAATTTTTGGCGTATTTATTTAGCCAAACTTGAAAAGACTGTTTTTTTTTTTTTTATTTTATTTTTTTTTTTTATTTTAATATAAAGTTGAATCGCTAAATAGTCATAATATCGTTAAATCTTAGCCTTTAAAACGTACTGTAAATTATCTTTATGTTGATATCGTCAAAAAACATCGTTACGCCAGGTTATATGCAATGGATACATTTTGCTTTTATGGAAATCCAATTGAAAATATAAGTGAAATATATTTTGGCGAATGATTTTTCAAAGAAATTTTCTTACCGATTGGTTTCGTCAAAACGATTATGTTTTAAAACTCGTTTCGTTTTACACAAATGACGGGTTGGATATTTTAATTAAGATAATGTATTCACTCGGTTCATTATTCTTGACAAAATTGAATCTGATTAAAATCACAACTGCTCGGCAAGAAATAAATAATGATCAAGATCCAGATCCAGAAAAATAATAATAATATTTATAGGCGCGATATCTTTGGATACGTTTTACAGTCAATCAATCGATGAAGCCTCGTAAAATTTTAAAAGAATTTAATTTTTTTATTTATTTATTTGTTTATTTATTTTTTTGTTTTGTTTTTTGTTTTGTTTTGTTTTGTTATTATTATTATTATTATTATTATTATTATTATTATTATTATTATTATTATTATTATTTAAATCTCATACATTTTATGAGAAGCACAATATTAAGTGTTTAGTGTTTAGAGTGTTTAGAGCGAGCAGCCGATCAATTCTGATTAAATTAAAATCTACATTAAATATAGAATCCGTTACGTTGATAAATGTTGAAACACGTATTGCAATTATTACAATGATAATTTTATTGATATATTTTATAAACTTGAGAAATTTCGTCTTACGTTATTACTTCCTGCATCATTGGAACAATATCGTTATTTATAAACAAACGAAATAGATAAGATTTCTACAATATTAATTCTATTTTTATTATTAAATAATGAAAAGAGACAAGTCAAGGTCCGCTGCTCGACCAACAATTACTAAAACA